CCCATTGTGGAAGGGCATGAGGAGCACAGCGCAATTATCATTCTTTATGAGGCCTCCCAAGAGATGATTGTGGCCAATGAGGAGGAGTTCCAGTGCCAATGACTGGAGAGGCCAGTAAGTGACAGTCAGCATGACAACAGTGGAGCTGACACTATACACCCCAGAGGAGCGCCCTGTAACCCCATATTCCTCATTTGTATATCATTGTGATATTGCATATAAAGCAGGCTGTGTGAGGTATCAGGGGACAGGTTGTGATCTGCCGAAAGTCATTTTTCTATTTAAATATGTATCTTATTAATGTATATGAAGTTATGAGAATGTGTTTTATGATTGTCACTAAAATATGCTGTGGGTTTGGGAAGTGCCCAGATACTAGCTCCCCAAGGACAATAACCAGGGGGATAACCAACGCCCGGGCGGCTGTCAAACAACCATCAACAGCCATTGTCCAGCAAGGGAACTACAATGCAATGACTCACCTTCACAAGGCCACACCTGGGGAATTGCTCAACCTCGCTGGGTGACTCAGCAATGCCCACCAGACCTGTGCCTGGACTTGTGCTCTCCAAGCACAGGGACTGAGAGTATAAAACAGAACACAGGGGCCCCATGCTTGGCCTTTTCTCCTCCCCACGCCTATGCTGCAAGTAACAAGGATGCTCAGAAGACTGATGATTTCAACAGAGGAGACTGGCTCAGGTTTAAGGGAGAAACCTGTATATTAAGGACTGTAAGATCCAGTGGGGTGAGAAAATTGCTTGAGCTAAATACTGTCTAGTGTGATAAGGGTTACGGTTTAGACTGTGAGCTTAGATTTTATTTTATTTTGGTAACCACTCTGACTTTTTGCCTATCACTTAAAATCTATCTGTTGTAATCAATAAACTTGTTTTACTGTTTATCTTTACCAGTGAGTTTGCCCAAAGTGCTTGGTAAATCTGCTCAGGTTTACAAAGGCTGGTGTATATCTACTTTCCATTGATGAAGTGGTGAACTAATAATAAACTTGCATTGCTCAAGAAAGGGTCTTGAGCAGTGCAAGGCGGTATATTCCTGAGGTACAAGGCTTGGAGCTGGGGGGATTTGGCTGGTGGCTTTCTCTGTGTGATACTCGAGTGGCTCTGGGAACATTCATGCAATCTAGCTGGGTGTGGGGCTCCACGTGTGGTTGTGGTGAGTGATAACAGCACCTGGAGGGGTTTGCTGCTTGTCACTAGCAAAGCTTGAGAGACAGCCCAGGCTGGAGAGTTAAGGGAGCAAAGCAGTCCCAGGCTGCACCCCAGGGATCCCATCATAAGTCTAATAAGGGACTATTAGGAAAACAAGCAGGAAGGAAACAGAATGGCTCAAGATAAGCCACTTTTCAGCAAACCTGGGTGGGTTGTTAAGAGACAAGGCCATTATGGGAAAAGGCCTGGGAACCAGAAGTTCCAAAAGACGATAGCAGTTTAAAAAGGGACTCTCAGGAGAGGGGTTAGCACTCCAGGGGCAGTTGCCTGAAGAAGCTAGGCCTGCCTAGCACACCATGAGGAGGATGCTGGGCTTCAGTAAGATAGAGATTTGTGCATACAATGTGTGTGGGGTGGTGTGTTTGTTTTTTTGTTTTTAAATCCTTTTTTCTGGATTGAGTTATTTCTGCTGTTAAAGTAACACTACTCCGGTCTAAGCAGGTTGCCTGGTCATAGGGTTACCATATTTAACAAATTAAAAAAGAGGACCCTCCACGGGGCCTTGGTTCCGCCCATTCCCCACCCCCAGCCCTGTCCCAACTCCGCCCCTTCCCCGTCCTAACTCCGCCCCCTCCTCCCTCCCACTCCCAGCCATGCGAAAAGGGCTGCCCGAGCACTACCGGCTTCACGGTTTGCCGGGCAGCCCCCAGACCTCCAGACCCTGCGCCCCCGGCCGGCGCTTCCCCTCCCGGGCTCCAGCTGCGCTGGGGAAGCGCCCAGCCA